TACTGTTCTGCTGGTCTGAGCAATTCAAGCCAACACGAGACTTGACTGTGTTTCTTATGTTGGGAGAAGCCAAGATGATCTGAGCACTGCTGGCATCCCAGTAACATGGAAATGCCTGTCATAGGGGATGCAAATACATTTTAATCACAGCGCTATGTAAATGCCTACTTTTCAATAGCCCGGCACAGCATGGTCAACTCACAAAAATATTTTTTTTTTCCATATGAATAGCTCCATGTGTCTTCAGTATGCTGCAGAGTTGTTTTGCATAAGAAAATGAGCTGTTATTTTCCACCCAAGCAAAACATGCCCTTCAGGTAAAACATTTTGATTTCAAGAACAATCTGTCAAAATGTTTTACAGCATTCTGGGCTCCTCATCTACAGGATTTCCAAGTACTATACAAACACAAACCTCTATTAGAAGAGAACTGGAAACAATTATCAAGAAATTGTGCAACCTTGAAGATTCTCATTTAGTACTAACTGGCAGATTATTGGGCACAGCTCATGTCCCGGATGAATACACTGCTACTTACATAGCATCAGACTTCGTAAAGCTTCATATAAGAAGCCTACCTAGCACAAACATACAGCATCGTATTATGACCTTGTGCTTGGAGACAGGTATAAATTGCATCAATGCAAGGATATAGGAAAGGTAGGCATTGTGCCACAGAAAGCTCTTGAACCATCATTCCCCATATCAGTTGTGCCTTGGGGGTGGTCTGTCCCAAGCCAAGCTGTGCTAGGGATCAATGAAAGGGAAAACCCATATACTGATGTTCTTGACCACCTCTTTTTGTAAATGACTACTGGTCTCTGACTTCTCCAGTGTTTCCATACCCAAGAAATCTGGGCGAAGTATGTGTATGATGGTAGGAGAGCTCCTGAGACCCCCACAGGGGGACAGCCCACATGGGGATTTAATCCTTAGAAGACTTCTCTTCCTTAGGGAAAAACTGGAGTAGCGTTAACTGCAGAAATTTAAAACAAGTCTGGTAAATTGGGAAGAAACAAGGGTTTCTAAAATACAAGCAAGAGTTCAGGTTTGTCCTTATGTTAGGCTTCAACTTAATCTTCTGTCCTGTTTGAAAACTCTAAATTGACTTCCATAGGGTTGCATTTCATGCTAGTTAATTTTAGTTACGTTTCATAGAGAAGGCAATGATAGAGCCTAGATTGTAAATCTTGGCATCTAGATAATCTCTTGTAAGGAGACTTATGAGGACGTTATGCAAACAGATGCCATTTAGGAAAGGAGAGAGAAAAGCTTGGGCATAAAACCAGAGGGAGCGTTTATGAGACCAGCCTTAAATGATCAGAGTACAAAAAATGGAAGATGACAACGAGACATTAGCAAGAAAAATGTAGGAATGGAAGCAAGCTGGATGGTGTATAGAGGAATATATTTTTATCTTTGGCACAGAGCCACACAAGAGCTTAAAGGACATTTGATTGAGGCATTTGACTAAAATGCAAAAAGCAGAAAGGGATCTAGGACAGGCATCAGAGCAAGGCATAAGTTTATGAGCATATGAATCACTGAAAAGAGGAAGATGATTTTATGCAATTTTTTTTTTCTCAGTTGAGGTCTTTTGGCAGTATGCATGGAAAGGGGAGGGAACTGCATTCAAAGCAGTAGTTAATTAAGGCAGGCTGAGCAGCTGGGGACAAAAAGGAGAGAAGGATGGTCTGCCTTTTGTGAGTCACTTACAAGCTGTAGCATGTAAAGGCATGCCAAGAGCCACATTACCAAGCACCTACTTCAGTGAAAGACAGAATCTATCTTTTTCTTTAGACTCTTTACCTTAGATTTCATTCCTCTTGTTTCTTGTCAGTTCAAAAATTAATCAAGTTGTCTTTTGCACAATAACAAATTCCAAAAGCCGAAGATGTGTGTATATGTGTATTTGCATCTCCCTCAAATTAAACAAGAGCAGCAGATAATAATTCAGCTAATTTAAAGCATCTAATAAGACCTAAGTATTGAAACAGGAGACAAACCTTTGTGCCATACAAGTCAGCAGATTATTTCCCCTCATACATCGGGTCTGGAGACGTCACGTATGTAAGGATGAAGTGAAGTGTTTATGTAGGATAAATTATTGCGGAGAGGAGTATTTTGAGAGCTCTGGCTGAATACTGAATGGCACATACAAATCTAAAATGCTGCTACATAAAATAATCCCCAATAAAAATACTTGCCCGTTAGGCTTTGTATCTGTATCATTTGCACTAGCTCAGCTACACATGAGGATTTACAGAACTATGGCATTGATTCTGCCAAAACTAGAAAACTCTCAGATTCATTCTATAAATACGTCTGTGCAGGGCTAGCCCTTAGCCTGATCAATCCTGTCTAACTCAATCCTGAGACAGCACCACAGACTTGGGCTAAATCTATGCTTAGTCCATCTTCCAGAACTACAGTAGACCGCTAAATAGTAGAGGACTCATTTTCTCCCACTGAAAGGAGCCTCTTCTAAAAAAAAAACCCTTTGCCAGATAATTATGTCATTTTAGTTTATCTTTGTGTCCTTTGCCTTCCTTTCTCTGCATTTATCTTGACTTTCTTTTTACAGTAGTTCCCATGGCATTAGTCTGCTGTAAATTCTGCTGCAGTTCATAATTATCTTTGAAAAACATACATGCATAAATAGCTACCAGGAATATCTTATTTGTTTGGTTAATTATAAAACTCGTAAGAGGGACTAGCACTGTCAGTACCACAGACTGATGGTTTTGAGGAAGGCCTCCCCGGAGATAAGCAAAATTTTCCATGTGTCTGCGAAATGAAACAAAGGGCGCCTGCTGACTTGTATTTATCATTACAGACCCCTCTGACTAACAGCTGGGGTTTTGCTAAGAAAAAGCCTTATTCAAGGTGCTATATTTGTCATTTGTTTGGATTGTGGAACCATATTAAATATACATATATTTTTCATTTATTTCATCCATGGCAAGAGTAAAGGTGCAGATTCTCAGTCGGTATGAAGGAACACAATCACAGCAGGGGAGAACCCAGCTGCAAATGTGGAGGCCTTAATGCCTGCGTTGCAACAGACCCACTGTTAACGCTCAGGTGGGTCCGTTCTCAAATCTGTTCTCAGTCTCTAACAGAGTTAGTAATACAAAACATATACAGACATACATATTTTAAGTATCTGAGAACTCTGGCATCCAGATATTGTTGGTGACATTAGAGACTCCCTAATCAGAAACAGGATCATTTCTGGCAGAACTGATTCATGTTTAAGGGATAGACAGTCAAAGAGCAAGGTTAAATAATCTATCCAGAAAAATACACTGACTTCAGCAATGAAATCGGGTTAGAAAGTTGTCTTTCGCTGCATTCACTCGTTCATGTGACACCTGTGACAATGACAACAGGAGTGTAAACAGTTCTTAAAAAAAGGAGGCTGATAAGCTCCAAAGCTATGGATAAAGAGACCAAAATATGGTATCAGTGCTACTAAAAACATGTGATTTGTTCCTGAATCACTGTGCCCAGGTTCTGACCACTCACACAGTTAGAACTAGCACGTGCCTGGAGTTTTCGGATCAGGGCAGGATAATGGAATAAACCAGCGAGGATCATACCTCTCATAGTTACAAATGCGTGTCCTGTCTATCCCCCAGGTAAAGCAAAGAGCTTGGAGATCGCTCCCGGGTCACTGCAACTCAGCGGCATTTCCTGGTGAGTGCGGGCCTCTGCGCACAGCAACGCTTTCCATTGGAGCGATAATGATGGCGGCTGCTACGGAATGTAAGTGAAGCCATCACGCTTTACTCATCAATGTACTAGCGATAAACTGAATCCTGACAACTTTTTAGGTAGATCACTTCAGATTTATTGAAAGTAAAGCAGGCACAGAAGCTGTCAGATCAAGCAGTTCATCTATACCTTGAATTAGTAATGAACATAAAGTCCCGTCCTCAGGAACTGCACCTCTTCACTTTGACCACTTTCAGACAGGGGGAGAAAAAAGGGAGAAAGCTTCAATTCCATGCAAAGCAACTCAGTAAAATTGTTAAACTGAACCAATGTTTAAGATTTTAAGAATTGCCCGTGCTTCAAGGTATGTCTGCATCAATTCTGAAAGAAAAGGACAGGGTAACTGCCTATACTAGGAAAAGGATATGGGTGACTTCGGTAGTAAAGAAATAAAAGGCAGGAGATTTCTCTTTCCTCCTCCATAACCATAGAGAGTGCATTAACGACCAGTGGAACTGAAGGTTATTCTACCTATGTCCAAGAGCTGCTAATTTTCAGATTATTTTTCAAAATAAAAGGCAGAAAAAATTAGAACAAACTTTAGCAACAAAGTTGGTTTACCCTGAATATTTACAAATAAAAGTAGAAATTTTTTTTAAGATATATATACACACACACAAACTGATCTTTAATGACACACATTGTGTTAAAATAGCATTCTTGGCCCTTTGTTGATGCTCATTTGGTTGCAAAAAATTAGAATATTTGATGGCAAAGCTAATCTATACAGCATAACTTAAACACAGAGAACAGACACATATAATAAGAAAACAGTACAAAATGTACTCCAAAAAATTAAATAGGTGTTCGTATGTCCCTCTTAAAATATGCAATAGCTAAATTTTAATTATGCAGTGGCTGTAGTTAAAATCCATATAACTTTACATTATACCTAATAATGTTTCTATGTGTTTTGCAGTATGAGAAAATACCACAAATACTCAGTGCTTAGTGTAGGAAATCTTGCAGAAACATAAATATGTGCAAAGGCTAGGTATATAGATTCTAACTGTGACGAAACTCTGGCCTAAATAATACAGGCCCAGGATACATGGTGGATATTGTAAAATTGCATTTTATGCAACATTTTTATGCAGGAAAGTCAATTTTTTCCTCCAAATACGATTACAGCTCTTACTTGAGTTTAAAAAAAAATACTGTATGAAAACTTTACATGATATATCTTGCCAATATGTTGCCTACTTCTCTATAATAAATGAGATTAATCACCAGCTACAGAACTCTGACCTGGTATAAGTGACTTTGCTTTCTGCTTATTTACACCTGCTAAGGATTTAGATTTGAAAACACATACAAGTTGGTGCAGTAGCTACAATTTATGAAGGTTGAATTCCCCTGTTACCAAATGGTAAAGTCTGGTCGTACACCCTGGAAATCATTTACAGTAAAAGACCGTGATCGTCTTCTAAGGGTAGGGCGACTGGGATTTCTCCCCTTAACTAAATTTAAATAAGGATCAGATCTCAGGAAGCGTGGGTAGCTGTCTTGCTCCATCAGCCTGTAAACTGTGTTTTGCGCTGCATCAAAGGTGGTGATGATGGGCCGTTCAATATTCTGACTTGTGACTTCTTTGGTTTGAAAGTCCAAATTCACCTGGAGAATGAGGAAAAGTATATTTCTTTAATGTACATTGTGCATTTCCTGGGTTATTATCCACAGCAGTGATACTGTACTTTGGTGAAAGTCTTTTCTGATAAGAGGACCTTGAATCCCTGATACAATGGGATATTAATACCACAGAACTAGTTAGTATGGTCATGTTTAGTAGTGGCTGTCAGAAAGCCTTCACAGATGTGTCACTGGTACAGTGGAAAACTGGTAAAATAGAAGATAAAGTTTGACGTTTCTAAAAGTGATCTCAGCGTAGTTGTGGTTGTCAGGCTTTGCAACACCAGGCTAATACAGAACTCCCTCCGTTCTTCTTTACAATTCACATAGAACTTTGTCTTGTTAGAATATGTTAGTGAATATTTAAAATTTCTGGTTTCTGTGGAGAGTTTTGATATTAGGAAGGTGAGAAAATAAAAAATTAAAATATAAAAATTATTTTAATGGGTTTGGGGAGGCTTTCAATGGGAAAAGCATACCAAAATGCTCATTTGTTCCATGTACCATTGCATTCATTCTGGGAAGATTTAATTAGTATGAGAATTTCATTAAAGTGTTAGGCACTGATTTAGAGCATGCTATTTTGAAAAATAAGATATATTCTATAAAAAAAATTGTTGATCCAGTCAAAAATTGACTTCTATAGTATGCTTTTTTTTCCTCACCAAGATGCACCTCTCATTTCCATAAAGCTAGATAAAACAAATAGTTTAGATCTGAAGAGCAATTACTGATGATAAAATGGTCTACTCATCAAACCTAAGATTTTATGCTCCTATCGAACTGTGCACTCAGAAACTTGTGTGTAAAAGAGCTCTGCTGGACAAGAAGTTAGGCAGAGAGAAGATGCAAGTTCCAGAGCTGTGTGGTCTGAAAGGAGACGCTGGTCTCAGCTGAACCTAAGGAAGGAAGTCTCACCAAAGCCAACTGCTTACGGTGAACAGCACCCACACTACGTGCACCAAATCAAAAGCATGACAGATAAAGAAATCATTACGTTACTGCTAGTCAGAGTATGACTTCCACACCCTCTCCCCTCCCTAGCTTTCCTCCTGCTCATCTTTTCGCTTATGTCAATCTCATAAGCATTGTCAGTATCAGCGCTTGATGCCCTACCGTAACTGTTCATAGATTGATCAATTGGCAACGACAGGTTCTACCTCAAACAACTCAGGGGGTTTCTTTTTATTTAAGGTCCACCCCAAAGACATGCAGCAGGGAAAGAAATAAAAAGGGACATAAATCCGTGAAAGTGGACATTTCCTAGGAAAAGTAAATCTGAATCTGAAATATAAACTATGGGATTACAGGTGGAAATGGCACCATTTTGAAATCCTTCTCTTAAAAGGAGAATTGCACCTTTTTTCACCCTTGTTACAGGGAAGTAGCAGTTAGTGTTTAACTTCTGCTATTCTGACAAATAAACAAAAGAATACAGGGGAAAAGGAGCATTGGCAAGTGACATATTTGATCTGCTCAAACTTGAAAGAATTACAGGAAATTGTAAGTCCCATTGAGGAGGCTGATCGTGATTTCAGTGAGAGTTCATCATCTCCCAACCTGTTTGTCTCCTTCCTAGTAAAGGCAAAAAATATTCCTTTTGTTCATTTACAAATCCTTTATAACACCACTTCAGTTACATGAAGAAATTGTAAATACGAAAACTTTTTGCTCTACTATAGTAATATAAAAAGGCCTTAGTGTTGATGAGGATTGACATAACAACGTATTTTTGTGTATGTGCTGACAGTAACATACCAAGAATATGTAATTAGAGCTGGGCAGTGGGAAGGGGGGAGGGATCAATGAAGAAAAGTCCATGCTTAAAACATAAGTAATATTTAATAGTTTCTTCTAGTCTCTTATAGTCTTTTGGCTCATTTAAAATAAAAACTTCTGAATCTCAGTTATGTAATAATTTAATAGATAATTACTGGTTTTAATAGATAATTACTGGTTTAAGAGAAAGGGAGAATAAGGCTGTTGTTCTGGCGGTAGCTTTAAATAAAGACAGACAATACTTTTTGTACAATGCTAGCTGATATGTCTCATTGCAGCTTTAACATTTAACATCACTATTTTATCTTAAATACACCCTGTGTGTGTATATATATTTTTACACACCCTAGCTTTACAGACCAGTAGGAATCTCTGATTCCTATGATATAATATTTAAACTCGTGCTCTATGCTAAGAAGAGTGACATGGAGGGGGTACTGAAAGGACTACAGAGGACAGTGAGAATAATCTATGCAATTGCTTCCAGATTTCCTTCCAGAGCTCTGACATTTAAGATACAGCCTTCTTAGGTCAGTGACTACATGATTAACCATTGCCCCTGCTTCTGGGCACGCACTTCTTAAAAGCAGATTTCATCAAATGCAGTTGTGTCAAATACTGTGTACAATGAAGAACACCTTTTCTGTACCTCTTTTGGAGCATCTTTCTGTATGAATGTTTCATAAATGATCTTAGCTTTTGGCAAAAGTTCATGTGCAGTCTTGCTTTTCTTGTAATCCTCGCAAGCTATCCAGAACTCGATGTTCTCCTCGCTGAACTCAGTTTTCAGAAACTTTGTAAAGGCATCCAATCCAGCTACAAAAGGGAATGTTGAATGGCATTAAAAATATATATCCTTATCAGGCAGTTACTCTTTCCACACAGTCTGCGCAAGGTAACAAAATAGGTTGTGCTCCCTTTGAATTTCATCACACTATAGATAATTATTTTAAAATACATAAAAGTTTTAAAGTAAGTGCAGTTCTTTCATTATGATCCTGAGTGCTCTAAATCCCATTACAGAATTCTTGGTATTTGTAAAAATCCACTACCAAGATCTTGTGAATTTAGAAATGGAAACAATCAAAACATGTGGATGTATGTGGAAGTGATGGACTTTGTTCCAGCTGAGTATCACTTTAGGTTGACCAAAACACTGTTTGAATCTTTGCTCGTAAGTAGACTGTTTTCCAGTAACAATTTAAAAGTTTTTAGCATATTTACAATTTACTTTATCCTATAGTTATTATGCTGAAGAGATTTTTCTTTCCCAAATATGTTTAACCTGTGGAAGTAATGCAATTGTATTGATGTCAGCTGTTCAAGGAACAGATCTGAAAAGCACACAGTGTCCAGCAGCGTAGCTGGGTGAGAGGTATGGCCCTCCAAAATGGAAGGAGAGACATATGTGCATTTAATAACTATGTAAGCAACAGGCCCAGTTCTGTTCCTATCACTGTTTTAGAAACAAACTGTACCAGAAGTGACAAAGTCTTTTCCTAAGCACATAGAACATGTTTTCATTTTTAAGGTTTGGTCTTGCAGTCAGCAATATTCAAATGAAATTCTACTGTTTATCAAACAAATTCTTTGCTGTCTGTTATATTACCTTGTTCAATGAAATACGAAATTTAAAAGTTATTTTCAACTATTTTCAGTAGTTGACAGCATGTTATAGCCAAAGCACATGAGGAGAGCAAAACCACGCTGCTATAAATGACCCAGTTTAGATAACTGCCAGGTCTATCTAAGTGCACAACTGGATTTTATAATTTTCCAGCATTTTCCATCAATTTTCCATCCTGACAGTCTGCACAGAGAGGGAAAAACTACTGACCTTTCTCAGAAAGCAGTTTGTCAAAAGATTCTCCCCATTTCACTGCTTCTTCAGGAGACACACTGTTTAAGAAACAGAAAGGGGTTTTGTAGAATTGTGCCTATTGTGTACTTAGGAAGCTGTTGCAACATTTGTTATCTGTTACAGTTACTGCTCAGGACTGTTTCACAAAGCCTTTGCTTAGATCCCACCACTGAAAGAGCTCATTCTTTTAGGTACTTCAGAAACATTTGGTTTCATTTTTTCCTGACATTTTTCCTGCAGAGTTGTACTCTTTTTTCCCCGCTATTTTAAAAAAAACATCAGAGTAGCGATTTTTCTCTTCAGTGTTTGTGTTGCGCTACTAATCTTTAACAGAATTGAGCTCATGCAGTATGGTAAAACTCATAGGGGAACCAGGTCAGTCACCTATTTAAACTCAAAAAATGCTCTTGCAGAGATGTGGTTTTGAATGCACTCAGTCTGAGGCTGCATTACCACAGTCTATTTTTAATGAAATAGAGGAAATTCTATAGCCTGAAGCAAAGTTGTAGCAATATGGTTTAGGTGATAGTCTTATAGGGCAATAACACACATAGCCTGGTTTGTTTACCGCAAACATGTTTCAAATGTCATGTTATTCTGAGACACTGTGCTCCATTTATAAAATTCCAGGTACTCTTCTTCAAATATGTCAAGTTGCACATATTTTACTTTAATATCAAATATTCTGCCTTAGAGAAAATGCATAAAGGAAAAAAGAACCCCACCACTTTACTTCGTTCACTTAAATGCAGTTTTTGGGAAACCCTTTTTTGGTGTTGTATAGATTAACTCTGAACACAACCAGGACAGTACTTTGATTTTTGTAGACCAGAACTGTAGTAAGCCTGGAGATGAACTGTATCATACTTGGACTTAAGTTCTAAGTCTGAAGGTGAAGTCAAGTTTTATCAGGTGCTTTATGAATATTAATATTTAGAACCATTTTCATTTGAGGGCACAGCACAGTACATTGAAAGTGTCAATGAGTAACTTCTCCAGGGTTAGTTGTTTAGAACAACTTCTTATGGACTGAACACTTCTTAAAACTGATTCCCCCTTCCTCATGGAGGCTTGCCATTCTGTTGCCTGATTGATGTAGTCTGGGCTCCGTTGGCAAAATCTGTAGGGATGTGAAGTTTAGATGAAGGGAAATTCCAATCACTTTGAGAAGGAATTTAAGCCAGTAATAATCTTGGCTTTGCACAAAACTAAAAGGAGATTTTTTAATTATTTTTTAATAGATGTCTCCTAGCTTTAATACATCTCTCCTAGCTGAAGTCATTACTTATAGGAATTAAATATTTAACTAGGGAGAGACAAACAGTTCTCAAGAGGTACAAATGCTGGAGAACTGAAATTCAAGAAATGAACATAAGCCACCAAAGCAGGGGGATTCTGGAGTCAGGGAAAATGAGACCTCACTCCCTTACAGAGTCTTTTAATCATGAGAAGTACAAAAAGTGCAGTTCTCTGAACTGTGTGGACTGGTGTGTCTGGGAACAGTGGGTTCCTATAGCTACAGAAACTAATTTGGTCATACCGAAAGATAAACCCTGGTGGCTTCAGACAACATACGCAGTCCGCAACCGCACAGAATGCCAGACTGGTTCTTTGCTGGGTTTGGAAACTCCTGGTGTAAACTTCTGATTTTCTTTCAGAACCTGCATCAAGCCAGTAGCCCCACAGATCCCTAAGAGCTGGATGCAGCAATGAGTTGCTGCAATAACAGACAGAAACCTAGATTTGTTCAGCTTTGCCACTTTCTAAAGATGAGAAGAAACTAGTTAACAGATCGTAGGCGTTTCCACTATCACCATGCCATCCGTCTGCAGAGTTTCATTAAGTTCTCTTTCTGCTTATGTTAGTTAGAATCTCTGTGTGAAGAATGGAAATCATAAAAACTAAGTCAGTCACTTAAATAATAAATCCAAAACTATTATCTCACTTTATTATTTGAAAAAGGGTATTTTCTTGTTTCTTTTTTCCTTTTTTTTTTTTTTTTTTACTTTTACCCAAAATAATCTATATCTCTATATATAATCTATAGAGAGAGAAAAATCAGCAAAAATCTATCAGTTTCTTTTCTATATAACAAGAACAGCAGAATCCCTGTTAGTCAGGCACCCGGCTGAGAGTAACGTAGTAAAAGGCAGTTGGCTGAGCGGGGAAGTGATAGTCTTAAAAGATAAAAGGGGGAAATTCTTCAGAGAATTATTTATTGCTATTGTATCTGCCTCTGAAAGTGCCTTTTCACAGATGGTAAGAATGCACTGATGGCTGTGTACTTTGTATGAAATACCCAAGGGTAATCAGCCACCCAATACTGTCTGCATACAGGTGGCACGGAGGCTGAGCTTTCTCTTTTTAGATGCAATCTTAGCATGGTTTTACATGTCTGGAACCCAGACATGGAAAAAGGGTGTTCTCAGCACTGTTTGACTTTTGTTCATCATTGCTATGTCTTGTATTTCTGAGTGAACTGTAAAACTATCGAATTAAGGCTTCTGCCAGCAGCAAAACAAGAAAGAAAGAAAGGAAAAAAAAGGAAGTAATGAAGCCTTCTGTGAGCATAGAGTGGAAAGTCTTCCAGATCATGAGTACACCCTGTCATTCATATGGGCATGATATTTGGGCACGTGAGCAACAAATATTGCCTAATTATCCAGATGCATATGTGCAAGCGTTTAGATACCCACCTCTCAGCCACTTTTCATGAGTTCTAGAAACAGACTTTGGGCCTTTATGCAATTTCTAACATATGTCCTTACAATTAGTAAGGGCTTGTAGAAGCAGTTCTGGTCAAAGCAGGCATCTTGGCCCCCAAAACAGTAACTGCTTAAACAAGGTTCATCAAGCTTAACAAGACAAAAGAGTATGGGAAGCACTGTAGTGTTCTGAAGTGATCTGTGACAGAAAGCAATGGGTGGCAAATTTTTTAGGCTACAGGTTTGCAGTATTTTATGCATTCCTCCTTTTCAGTCAAGACCTACAAATGCAACTGTTAATATATCAGTGAGATCTTGGTACTCCATTGAAGTCAGGAACTAAGCTCTTACTGAAGTCAATAAAACCAAGACTTCACCCTGCATCTTTATGAGAAATAGTATAACAGGGAGAACATTACAACAGTGTTTAAATATCAGTATCTGAATTTTGCAGACAAGGGTGTTCAAACAATTATGGCAATTATTGAGGAATTATGTGTTCAGTATTTGACATGCATCTGGCGTTTGTAAGTCACAGAATTCTTTGGAAAAACTGCTTTCCAAGGAGCTGTATGATTTCCCTATAAGCAGTAATTTGTCTGCTACATTTCTGAGTTAATGCTTGCTCACTATAGTCAGTGGACTAACAAAAATGTTGTTGGCACGAGTAAAGGTTTAAATGCCTCCGCAAGTGTATGGGGATCAGTCTACACTTAGTGGTGTGAAAACACTAGTGGTGAGTTACCTTGATGCATAGCAGATAATTCTATAGTGTTTGTATGCTTCAGTTAGATTGCTAACTTTTAAATTAGATAGAACTTGAAAGCGTTACTGTCTGCCAACTCTGAATGTACGCACAAATGCAGGAAACGTTGAGTCACACAGGCACTTCCTGAAAGGAATCCCCATCGACTCGTGTTTTATAATGCTTACCTTGCTGCTTTTGTCAAGTTTCCAGGTTTGCTAGGATGATCGCCTTCATGAAATTCAGACTTTTGCAGGAGAAGGCTCAGCCTATTTCTCTTCTGCTTAGCTCTACAACAGAATTAGGGTAGCTTTTCAAGCAATCTTGTTGAAAGTTGTTTTTTTATCCTCAAACATTTCCTTTGACTGATATCTCTGCTTCTGCATCGCAGAACCCCCGTGTTCACTTATAGTAATGTTGATGTTACTTCTCCTACATATATTATTCACATTAATGATTTTTTCTTTATAGCTTAGCACAAATTTACATACGAAGCACTGTCAAAGAGAAATGGAAATATTGTCATTTTGAGTATCTTTTTCATTTATTTTAAAGGTGAGGGGGTGAAATTTCACATGGGAGAACATAAACAGTTGGTTCAGCATCTTCTACTTTTAATGTTTCACAAAGAAAAAGGAAGTATTGCTTCCTGTCATTTGAAATTTTCAAAAAGAAACTTTCCCAGATCGTATTCAGGCTTTAAAGAAGCATTTCTCAGAACTTCTTGAAACCTCCCTCTCCTATTTGCTTAGTTGATTATTTGATTTGTTTCTTAAAAAAATATTTCTGCGATGAATTACTATTTTACATATACAGTTCCTAGGATTGCAGTTCATGGGTTTTCATTTAAATGATATAAATCAAAAATAAAATTATCTGTACCCTAAGTTCATACCCATAAGCTATGTTAGAAGAATCCTCTATGTAAACCGAACACTCAGAGTGTCAGCTTGACCTTAAAACTTACCCAGGCTTGCTTGCTTGATGCGGCTCTTCTTTAATTGTTGATTTCATGACTTTGTAATAGGATTTATCCTTTGAAGCAGAAATGTTTAGCTGGGGGAATAAAAGAAGTGGGTTCTCCATCTTCCTCTAAAAATGCTTCCCAGTTTCAGAAAATGTTTCTTTTACTTCCTTACAGCAGTCGCATCTGGTGTAACTGATGTGCTTGGGAGGGCTCTCACATGCTGTATCGGGTTGGGTCACCCCACTTGGCTGTTGAGCAGTTTCCAGAGCAGGTAGTGGGAAGAAGGAGGTTCTCTACCTTCACTGCCACTGCAGCTGCACGTACACGGGACTTTAAGTAGAGTTCTGGTTTTACAGTCGTCATTTAGGGAAGTGAGATTGCAACTTTGCAAAATGGCCGTTGATCATCCAGACAAAGAGAATTAGCAGAGAGCAACTCCTGGGTTTCCGCTTGTGGAACTTGATATTTTACCAGTCTTCGGATGACGCCATCATTTTCCCCCAAACACCTGTGAGAAGCGTACACAGTTTCTCTAAAATGAACTTTACTGAGAACAATTTTGCATAAAATAACGTACAACATTGTCTTAAGCTCCCAGAAGAACTTCTAACTGATCTTAAACTGCCCTCTACAGCCTCAGGTGCCGTATGCTGGACACAAAATCAGTTCCATCTATAATATGCTACCTTGAAACTCAGGCATTCTCAGTCTCTTGCAAGAGCCAGGTGACGCTGTGGTTGATCAGATATTTTGTAAGCAGAGACTTGAATTTTTGCACCATTTTTCAGAAATGATGAGCACCTACTTCTAATTTAAAGTTTGTCCACTTAAAGCTCTTCCTTTATCTTTTATAGCTGTGGCTTTACTTTCATTTCCAATCTCCCAGGCAGGATAAAAAGTCTTTACTTCAGCACATAAATTTGTGATTTTTTTTTTTTTATTTTGACACTAAATAACCAAAAATTTCTCATTTCAGTTTGTGTAACATAAAAATGTACTCATTTTTTAGGCTGATCAGCACAAATTACCGCTTCACATACAAGTTTGATGTCAAGTGTCTCATTCTTAAGCACAATTTATGTTGGAGATGTCACAGAAACAATTCATCTACCGAAGAAACCTCTTCAGTGTTAGCTGAAAGAGGGGCTGGAAAAGATCAAAATTATGCAGTAGTTAAATGAGTAAGAATTAAATAGTCCTCTTTTTTTAATGCCAATGCCTCTTTTTGATCATTCAGGTAAGACACCAAGCCTTAAGGGGGTAAGACATGACCTCATCACCTTCCCACAATTTTGTCCAGTTCTGCGCAATTACTGCAACATGGGTAAGTTCTGGTGAAAGTCCCACCATGGGCTTTTCACTGTGGCTTGTGGAGCTGAGGAGGATGGGAGGTACTAATATTCAAAAGAACTGAAAAAAAAAAAAAGAACCACCACACCAAACCCTGCTGGGACTCCAAATTTCTGAAACAAAAGATGTTATCTATTGTGATTTTTTTGAGAGATAAAAAATGAAAGAAAACTTACGTGTATTACATGTGTGGTACAAATTTTAAAATCCAACTGAATGGGAAGCATTCAGTGCAAAGTTGCCTTTTGTGACCCAAGGACCTTTGAGAAGCAGAGTTATGGTTTTAAACTGCATTTTCAGTTTCAAAGTAGGCTTATATATCACATCCTGGCTTTAACCGCAGCTGTCTTTAATAATATATTCTGTCTTTTACCAATAAGTAAATATAAAATGCATTATTTTACTCCACTTTTCTGCAACAGTGGTAGTCACGTGAGGGTTTTTTTCCCACCTGTTATGTGTATATAATGCCATCTGTGTTCATCTGCCATAATTTTATTACCTGGTGATTTCAGTTCCTGAAAAATGTTGCTCATTGTAGCCTCAGTAGTTCATATAAGCTGATTTAAGAAAGATTTGTAGCATGAAATGTCACTCAGAAGTGAATTATGGTGGCCTTGCCACTATACCATGTAACTTATAGATGGATATGACCTGTTATGTCATCTCTTTCAGCACCCACCAACGATGGGCTCTCCCCAGCGTAGAGCTGAATGGCTTGTCCAGTCCACTCTTAAATGACTCTAAAGCAGCAGCTGTTATGTCTTAGATGCTTGAAATATTACTGTGTTATACTGTGACAGTCGTATCCGACCCAAATGCGGCAATGTGCTGTGCATCTCCTGAGAATCCATTTAGAATTTGGGGGGGCGGGGGGAAGAAGGGAATAATTACAAACAATCTCTTTTTTTTCTTTTTTCCTCCTTTTTTTTTTTCCATTAATAGAAAGCTAATATTAAATCCAGGCCCTGAAGTAGCCAAATTGCATCAAAGTCAGTCTGTGTTTTGTCAACGATGGTGCTGGTGCTAATAAGTATTTCTGTTTTGCACTGCAGGCTACAGTAGTTATAGCAACAGTATTAATGACCCTATAAATGCTTCTGGGACATTTTGTATACTGCAAGATAGTGATATAGAAAAATGAGTAAGTTATTTTAAGCCAGAAAAAGAAGACTGGGAATATTATGTTGATGACATGTCTAGAGCCCTAGAAAATTCTAAAGATGGTTGGAATGAGAACCAAATGTCCTGATTCCCAAATGTTTCTCTAACCACTGAGATGTATTCACAGATCTTTTGGGAAGGAGACTAGTGATTTTCAAGCCCTCCGATCAAGATCATCTCTGCAAAGTGAGAGCAATATTGACTTAATGATTTATTACTTCTAGAAAAGAATAAATAAATTTTTCAAGACTTTCATAGTTACATGAATAGACTATGCATTTTCAAAAAAATCTTTATGTGACAAAAAAGCAAAACTGAAGAGATCATGAAGTGCAGGAAGTTCCTTGAGGCAATGTCCTGATCTCTTTAGGCCTGCTCTTCAGTTGAAAAGTGTCTGCAGTAGCTTCTGTTAGAGCTTGATAATGTCCTATCACAGCTGATGATCAAGTCATGCTTGACTTGTGTGGAACAAATAGCTGCCCTCTGTGAAAGAAATATTGACTGATACCATTAGCCATAAGGACATTGTATTATACATGGAATAGGTTGTATTTCTTTTTTGAAGGTAAGCACTGAAAGATTCAGACTTTCAGTTCAGCTGAATAGAGGTGAAGTCCCGAGCGAGTGGTTCAGCTCAGCACAAAGAACTAGAGCACAATGAGAAGTTCTCCTTTGTTAGTAATCCTGCCGCATCTCTCTCCAAGCTATTTTTGCTACTTGCCTTGTAAGTGTAAACTTTGCCTCCTTCATGTCCATGCTCATGTTCTAGCACTGCCTGGACTCCTCCATAACTGAGCTTCACCATTGTTCTTATTCAAATCCAATTTTACCAGTACAGCTTTTGTGGGGTTATGTTTGTTTTAGTTTCTGCTGAAGGGAAGTGATATTCATCTTTGCGGGAAGGGAAAAAAAAAAAAAAAAAAAAGGAACACTGTCTCTTTACCGTCCTGTTAAAAATAAGCATGGAAAGAAACTTCACTGAAGAGCATGAGCTGAAAAGATGTATTTCCATATCTCCTTCTTTTTCCTGTGAAGGGATTTGAAGAGTTGAAACTTAAAATTATACATTTTGAATGAATTTGGCTTCGATAAATAGTTTTGTTCTTCAGTAACTTCTTAACAATTTACCGCTCCTCAATATTTATGTTGTTTATTCCTTATTGGAAACCATAATTGGACCTAAAATTGAATAATGATATGATCGAATATATGGTTGTTTTGTTCATCTTCAGACGAAAAAAGCATTTTGCTTCACGAAGCAATACCAAAAGGAAAATAGTTGTATTGTAAATCTCAAGCAGAGGAGCTTGCAGTCGGCTAATTCAGTGAATTTCTTTAGTGGTGCGCTTACAAGAGGAGTAGTCCTAGTGGAGGACCTTGGCATGCAGGACGCTTCAGAGTTAGTGGAAGGGAAGCATTACAACGCCTACACATAGTTCACAATATAAACCTTTCTTTTGTTGCTGCTGTTGTTTAAAAGGAAGGAAACAAAATTGCATTGTTTCAGATATGGATCACTGACAACAAGGAACATAACGCTTTGCATTCGGGGTTTGTAGGTCCTGTCAGCCAGGGATCTCAAAAGAATTTTGAAAGGCATCCGTGACAAAAACTCAAGCTTGGTGCAGGCTTGGGAATCTCTGTAGCTTCTGCAGAACTTCTGCTGTGGAAAATGTTTACATCTGTGCTAAACTAGATTCATTTACTTAGTCTTTTGAAAGGTCAAAATAAGAAAGTGAGTCTGCAGAGTTCTCAGCTGTATTCATTTCCTGCCTGTCCCATGGTTATATGGCCAGCATCTCTGATTAGTTCTATTTACGTATTGCATACATCACTGTCACAATTAATCTACAGGAAGCTGCTTTCTCAGTTGAACCACTCAGTGTTTACAACTAGCTCTCTTCAACTGTACAGCAATGACGTCAGTGCTCATTAGACAATTACGTTTTAATGACCAGCTTCCGGAAGTGCTCACCTAGGACACTCACAAGCATTTTAAAATGTAGTTTTTTAGGATGGTATTCGCAGGAAATGTCAAAGGCAGGAATATACACTAAATCCTGCCCAAAATATCCTACTGGAGTTACGCACTACTGGATTTATTTCCATCTTACAGAAACCCAGAGAGATTCCTCACATGACAACCTGCTTATTTTTTCCAAGAGAAGGATTTTATCAATCCAGGCTAACTCTGCAAGCAACAGCAAGTCTTGGGCTGAGCATTTTCTGGTCCTCTTGTGAAAGGTGTGGGAGAACAGAATGGAGAGACTGTCGCTTAGTCATGCAAGAGGGCTGTGACTCCTGGTCCACTGAGTATTAGCCACAAGATCACATTCCCTACAGCAGACAAGGGAATAAAATCAGAATTACATCAGAGCTGAGTCTGCCATCACTGAACTACTGTGTGGTTTTAGCATGTCAGGCGTGTCCTCCCCCTGCTTTTCCAGTCAGATGATTCAGGAATATCTCGGGAATGCTGCAGCACAGGTTGAGCTACTAGGGCAGGCATTGTCAAGAACTAGGGAAGCCGTAAGGAGCATTTCATATTAAAAAGGGAAGAGGGCTAACTCAGGACTGGGAAAGCACTCAAAACAGGTTTTGAAAGTCACACCTAATTATTTAGGCTGAAATTAGGCAGGACCTAAGAGCTTAGGTTCTACTGTAAAGCCACCCTTGATGGCTGCGGTGTTGCAGCATGTGCTCACTCAGTATAATACGGCACTGATACAGATATACCTAATTCGGCCTATTTAAGGCACAGTTAAGATTTCTGCAAGAATGCTTTCTTCAGCTTGTATGTTATTATGTTTTATTCATTGTTACTTCTTCTTGAGAGTGCGTTGTTTTGATGTCCTGATTTAGCTGATGTAAGTAGTCCTAGGGTTTACAAAGTAGTACGGTGGATTGCTCATCAGAGCAGG